ACACCTCATTCCCGCCATACTGCTGGTTAAACACACACACCAGGAACCTGCCATAGTAGCTCAAATCCATAGCCTGCTGCTAACTTGAGAGAGACAACTAGGAAGCTATTTTTTTAGCCCCGTTTTAGAATCTTTTTTCTCATGTTTTAGGTGGAAACTCTTGCCCGTTGGGAGCCATTTGTAGCTAGTTTTCTTGGTCTTGCCTGGCCCACAGTCAGGACAAATCTTTGTCACCCGCCAGTCCCACAGCCACTCAGACCTAACCAAATAAACACAGAGACTTATATTACTTATAAACTGTATGGCTGTGGCAGGCTTCTTGCTAACTGTTCTTATATCTTTAATCAACCCATTTCTATTAATCTATAAGTTGCCACGTGGCTCGTGGCTTACCGGTATCTTAACATCTTCTCATGGCAGCGGCTGGCAGCTCTCTCTGCCCCAGCCTTCTAGCTCCCAGAATTCTCCTCTCTCCTTGTCCCACCTATACTTCCTGCCTGGCTACTGGCCAATCAGCATTTTATTTATACAGAGCGATATCCACAGCAATCAACCGTGATGAGTCCTGTGGACAACATGGGTTTTTTCTCAAGCTCAGAGAGCTGCATTTGTTTAGTGTGTACAAGGTCTTGGGTTTGATCCCAAACAAAGAAATTAAAGTAAAAAACTAACCCCCAGGAAGCTTTTACAAGAAAAACAGACACACTCCAACAAAATAGCTAACCAGTACTCACGACCACCAAGACAAGGCAAGTCACATCCTAGGGCAGAAAGCGGGCAGTAGATAAAAACCAAGGAAACTCACACTAACAATGGATCAGTGAGACGGGGACAGAGTGCACTGCGGGAGTGTGCACTGCCTCTCACACACGAGAGTGAGCCCAGGAGCCACTCTGGCCAGCACTGTGCATAATCTCACCACTGGGGAGGCAGGAACAAGTGGACTGCTGTGAGTTTGAGGCTAGCCTGGTCTATGTAGCTTTATCCTCTCTCTCTCTCTACACACACACACACACACACACACAGACGCACGCACGCACAATATGTTACTGGATCCAAAAAGCTTTATCACCTTATTAAGTAAATTATTTGGGAAAAATTATTTCATCTCTTTTCTGTCTCCTGGGTTTCTATTTTGGATACGGTACATACATAATTTAAAAATAACTATGTAAATATTCACGTGGTTCTGCTTACTAAAATATTTCATTGATTCATTCAGTTCTACTCAGTTACTGACTTAAAGGGAAAATGGTTGTCAAAGTGCTTGCTATGGGAGCATGAACATCTACCTGACTTTGGTCCCCAGTGTTTGCACAGCAGCACACACTGATCCCAGCACTGGGAAGGTAAAGGATTTCCTAGGCTTACTGACCAGTCTAGCCAAAGAGGGGAGATCCAGGTTCAGTGAGAGACTATGTCTCCACAAACAAACAAAACAAAACACCACCACCACCAAATGCAGATTGGGCTAATGTGCTAGCTCAGCAGTTACAAGAGCACTTGCTGTTCTTCCAGGGGACTGGAGTTCAGTTTCTAGCATCCATGTTGGGCAGCTCTCAAACCCTGTAACTCCAGCTCCTAGGTGTCTTCAGACCTCTGCAAACATATACACAAGTACAGCATACACGCACAGCATCAGACATCAAATGCTGCCTCCATTTGCACACGTATACACATATATGTGCACACACATCCACACATGAACATATGTACAAACACCCACATACTTTTTTTTGACAGGGTCTCCTGTGTAGTTCAAGTTGGTCTTGAACTCACTATGTAACCCAGGCTGGCCTTGAACTTGAAGTGGTCCTCCTGCCTCAGCCTCCCAAATGCTGGCATTACAGGGGTGGACCACTGCAACCCAACATCTGACTTCAAAATTGGCATCCAGAAGCTGGGCGTGGTGGCTCACACCTTTGATCCCAGGAGGCAGAGGTAGGCGGATCTCTGTGAATTCCAGGATAGCCAGAGCTCTTACACAGAGAAACCCTATCTCAAAAAAACCAAAACAAAAATTGTTATCCAGAACTGGATTTTCTTGGCCAGAAATCTACAGACTTTTCAAGTCATCTCTAACCCACGTCAAAAATTTTAGGGAAAGGTTTATGTCTGTCTAATCTCTGGGCTGCTTGATAGTAGAAGCCACTAATGAAGTCTGTGATCGACAGCATGGAGGATAGAAAAGACATCCCTATTTCATAGGCAGAAAGGCAAGAGATACTGGTGTCTGTTTTATAAAGACCACTCTGCTCTTTGTCCTGGGTTCAAGTTTATCAGACTTGGGTTCTGCCTCTAGATGCAGGTGACATTGTAGTCATGTTTCAACTAAAATCATGATGTCCCCTTTACTTCTGCTTTGTCCTTGTCCATGACTTCTCATAAGAACTTGACAGTGCTGGGTGGTGGTGGTGCACGTCTTTGATCTCAGCACTCGGGAGGCAGAGGCCAGCCTGGTCTACAGAGCGAGATCCAGAACAGGCACCAAAACTACACAGAGAAACGCTGTCTCAAAAAACCAAAAAAGAAAAAAAAAAAACCCAACTTGACAGTATGTTCCTATGAGTGTGCCCCCTCGGACCCTCTGGAATCTTAGGGACTCATTACAGTCTAACCTGTGTCTTCTAAACGAAGAGGATCCGTTGTCACAGCAACTGAAAGCCCACAGACCATCCACATACCTGGGTCTGGCACAGACCTCAGCTGCTGGTCTTGGATTTGCAGTCGAGAGCAGACAGGCAACTAGGACCTTCACACCTACAGAGCAGCCAGCACCTGAGGCTCACTGCAAGGTGGGTAGGGCCACATTCCCCAGAAGTCACAGCTTAGTCATCGAAGCAGAAACCAGGAGATGAGTAAGTTTCTTTCTGTACCCACGAGGGAGCTGTCCTCCTAGGGAGAGGTCAAAGGGCAGGTCCTGATTTACATTTCTGTGGGTGTTTCCTCAGAAAATGTAATCACTATATGGACACCATAAATACAGCTACCTCTACAGTTTAAGGAAAATTCAATTAAATGAGTCCACGTCCTGCTGAGTGCAAAGTAAATCTGTACAGGGTTAGAGAGACAGGGGGCAAGCTGCAACAATTCTTGTGTTCTGATCCGACTTCTGCTGTAGCCAATCCATGCACGGTCCTCTTACGAGCTCTGTGTCTCCCAAGACTATGGTCCTCTTACGAGCTCTGTGTCTCCCAAGACTATGCCACCGTCGGCTGAGTGCTGGTGAGAAGTTCGGAGAGCTCACCAGTGGGATGGCATTTGGACAAAGGTTGTTGGTTTGCAAAGATGACCGAGCCCCATGGAGCTTGAGAACCAGTGAGCAGACAACAGGCACCAAATAAACAAAGCTGATCTGCTGTATTTAGAATTAGATCATGAATGGCAAAGCTGCTTCCAGACAGTAATAGAGGGTCCAGGGATATCTCCTTAGAGTGCTCTGAGAGAAACTCACTCCAAATATAAAGTTCTCTCTATGACTCTTGGGCAGCAACCTGAGGGGACATCATAGGAGAGGAGCTGGGAGGTGTTGGCTGTTAAGAGAAGCGGGGTGCTGAGACTCTCAGCCAAGGTGCTTCCTGGCTTAGAAACTAATACAACGGTCGCTCCCTACCCCAGTGTCCAGAGAAAGATTGCTCATATGTACGCCCACATGCAGACTACGTGGCATGACCCTAGTAACTACACGTATCGTAACATGTATTGGCTCGTGGAGTAGCTGAGCATTGAAGACTGGGTGCTAACGGTGCTCGGGCACAAAGCTCTGTGAGCAGCTCTGTGAGCAGTTAACACCCAAGTCAACGGGCACAGGAGGCCTCCTAGTGGCAAGTTACTTCAAGGCAGAAACCAAAGCCATAGGCATGTTCCCGAGGAAGTCTTATGTCAGTATTGATAGCCTGACTTTAGTTTTGCATAGGCAGGCTTTCCTTCCTCTTCCTCTGCTCTCCAGATTGCTACGTGGCCAAGGCTGGCCTTCAACTCAACAATCCCAAGTGCTGAGATTAGAGCCACAACATCCAGCTTCCTTAACTGGGGGAAAAAATTGGTCATTTTATGTGTATGGGTGTTTTGCCTGCATGTATGTAACATACCATGTATGTGCCTGATGCTCATGGAGGCCAGAAGAGGGTGTCGGATCTCCTGGAACTAGAGTTACAGATGGTTGTAAACTGCCATACGGTGCTGAGAACCCAACCTGGGTCCTCTGGAAGAGCAGCTAGTGCTCCTCTTAACTGCTGAGCCGTCTCTCTAGCCACTTTCTTCTTCTTTGAACAAAAATGGAGTTCTTGGTTTGACTTACTATGGCCTCTGTAATTCAGGCTGTAATTCTTCACAGAAGGAAGATGCCCTTCATCCCCAAAGCAGGACCAGGAAGCCCCATCATCGCAAATCAATGCCAGTCAGTAACACAGGTGCTGGGGGGAGTTAAAGTGTTTATTGAGGTGGTTAAGTTCTGTACATTCTCCACAGATCACACTAAGGAGTCTGGAGGTGAAGTTTCAACCTGTGCATAGTGGGAGGACGCATGGCTAGGAAGAGGAGGAAGAAGTCACAGAAAAATACAAAACACAACAACAACAAAACAAAACCCCAAAACAAAACCAAAAACTTACAACAGGTTACCAGAACCTTCAGATCAAAACAAAACAAAACAAACAACAAAACTCCAACAAAGGTTATGAGCATCAGCTTCAGCTATAAAAGCATTACAGACTCATGTGAAGGAAACAAATTTTCAAAGATTTCCACAGTGTCTACAGATCCAGTTTCGTGTACAACCCAGAACACTCTCCTTTCATATAAAGAAGCCTCCTGTGAACTCTCCTGGGTCCTCAGCCACATATTATGGTATTCTCTGAGTGAACAGCAAGAGCTGGGGAGAGTGTTGGGAGTGGAAGTGAGGTACAAGGAGGGCAGAGGGTCAGTGCATTGGAGGGAGATGTCCAGAGAGGAGGGGGCTGCACATCTGGACGCACTTGGTAGAGGGAAGTGGATGGTAACGAGCTCCAGTAAACAACAGTGGAATAACAGCATGTACTAACTACAGGCTGGCTGCTGTGGAAGAACTGGATTTGAAGGAAAGCACAGTGGATCTCTGTATGCACTGGCCTTGCTCAAGGTGCCTCAGCCCCGCTTGGGGACAGCTAGTACAGAAGCACCCAACACCCAGCACTGGAAATGTTAGGCTTCCAAAGAAACTGTACTTTTAAAATAGTTCATTAACTGTACCACAATGCACTTCAATTCCACTTAAGTTTCTCAGCAACCTAAAAAGGGGAATACTGCCTTTTTACATAAAAACAAAATAATAAAACCAGCACAGCAAATGAGCCTGAAGAACTGACTTACTAACGGGAACAGCCTGTGTATATAGTCTATCATCGAAAAATCAACATTTTCCATTTATATAGAGCATGTGTGAGACAATACAATAGAAGTGGCATTTCTAATTTAAAAAAAGAAAACTACATCCATCAGATATCTGCAATAGATCATTTTTTTTCATTTCACTTAAGGTTTATATATCATATATTGTTATATTAACATTTTTTTAATCCATTTAAAAGAATGGAAATTGCAATCCTACAGTAGTACTTTATAGTCTTAACAATCCAGGAGAGCAGGATGTACGATGAGGCCTGCCTTCCGGCACCACTGGTGGTCAGCAGTCAGGCACAAATGCTGAACCTCTTCTAGCCCACCTGCACCAGCCTCCAGCCAGGGTGTCTGTCACACATAGCCTGTCCTTAAATCTGCATCTGCTCCAGGTACTTGTAGGTTGGGTTCTCATAACCATGGTTCTGCATCTTGTTCAGGTGACGCTCTTCTGGGGTAAGCATTGGGTCAACCTGTAGGAACAAAGGTCGCAGGTCACTGTGGCAGACTAGAGGCCTGCAGAGCGGCAGGACATCAGGCTATTCACTGTCCAATCCCGTGGGACTCAAAGCAGCCCAGCATCCTTTTTTACTGGACAGACCAAACAAGAGCTGGTATCAAGGACATAGAGAAGGGGGGAAAGAAGGAGGTCAGAGAGGTAATACTTCTCTCTGAAAGCAGAGCTCTGAAAACTTGCTCAAGTGAGAAAAACAGCTCACTGACAAACTTGACCATTTCAGTTTGGTCCTTGGGATCCACAGGGAAAGAGAAAGACCCCTTCTAACAGTCCTCTGATTTCTATATGCACATCATGTGACCTCACTCCAATGAGCAATTTACAATGACAGACCATTACAGAGGCTGTTCCCGGTCCGCAAGGCAGTTCCTCAGGCTCATTTGCCGAGCTGCTTTTACTACTTGTTTTTATGTAAAAAGGCAGGATTCCCCTTTTCAGGTTGCTGAGAAACTTAAGAGGAACTGAGGTGCACTGTGGTAGTTACTGAACTTTTTTTAAAGGACCAGTTTCTTGGAAGCCACAGTGACAATTGGCCAACACTTAGTTTTTGGGCTATTGGAGGCAAGTCATGTCATGCTCAGTTATGAAATAAAGAAAGGGGCCAGATGGTCTGTAGTCACTTCCAGCTTTGGAACTCTACCGCTAAAGCCAGGCTCCGGTACTAACACCTGCATGTCTACTGTGGAATAATCCCCTTGCACACTGTCAGGATTTGTCACTTGAATTTGTTTAATGAAACAATGACTGGCTGGTAGCTGGGCAGGAAGTTAGGTGGGAAATCCAAACTGAGAGAGATGGAAAAGAGGGCAGAGTCAAGGAGCTGCCAGTCAGACACAGAAGAAGCAAGATGAGAATGCTGAACTGAGAAAAAATACCAAGCCATGTGGATAAACATAGATAAGAATTATAGGTTAATTTAAGTGTAAGAGTTAGTAATAGGTCTGAGCTACCAGCCAAGCATTTATAAGTAATATTAAGCCTCCTAGTCAATTATCTGGGAAGCAGCTGCTGGGTATCTGAGAACAGGCATACAGGAGAGAAACTTCTGCCTACACATGTCTACAGTATTCTTTGACAGTGCATCATATTCCTTAGTGTATTTATATAACCTAGGAGCAAGAAACAATTTCTACCATCCACTGAAAAATGAGCAGCAAACTACTCCAATTATGCATCAGCAGAGACAGAGAGAAACAGCTTGCATTTGCTCTTTGTTCCCATCCCCAGCCATTACAAAAGAGAGAAAGGTCTGCGAGTATAACAGAGCACATGCCTAGAATACCCAAGGCTTCTGGCTCGATCCCCAGCAACATAAACAAGTGTGTACACACACACACACACCCCTTTCTCACTTTCTAAAAAGCACACCAGGGAAATAGTAATATTATTTTTGCTTTCTGAAGCATAAAATGTTATGAACTTCTGATATTGAACCATTTAACTGATTAAAACCCAAATGGAGGGCTGGAGAGATGGCTCAGAGGTTAAGAGCACTGCTTGCTCTTCCAAAGGTCCTGAGTTCAATTCCCAGCAACCACATAGAGGCTCACAACCATCTGTAATGAGATCTGGCGCCCTCTTCTGGCCTGCAGGGATACATGCAGGCAGAATACTGTATAGATAATAAATAAATCTTTAACAAAACCAAATGGATGCTGAAAGTTGGTGACACTCCCTTGAAACAAGGGCAATACAACACAGTAATGGCTGATCTCCAAAATGCAACCTAATAATCCAATGAGTGACACAATCGTTGACAGCCACATGTCCAACACAAAACACTCAACTCACCCTCCACCCACCCAATAGTGCAGACCCTCATCAGCTTAGGCCAAGGCAGAAGGCAGCCCAGTCCTTACCTCCACAATCCCATGGCTGATGGTGCCATACTGCCTCTTCCTCAGCATCACCAGGCTGATAACAATGACTGTAGCAATGGCCACGGCAATAACCAGCAAGCCAATAAGAGCACTGCTGCTCAAACTGAAGTCTTCTCTCAAAGGTCCCACAGATTCCTAAAACAACAAAGCACATAAGAAATAAAGTCCTGGTAACCACCTGGCAAAGAGGACCAGGTACCTCTCAGCCTGTTTCAAAAACTCAGGGCCACACAAAGATCCTGCTTTGTCTACATCATCAGATCAGGGAGAATGCCCACTTTTCTAATTTCCATGGAAATTTTCTTTGTTTTTTGCTTTTTTGTGTTTTGTTTTGTTTTTTCTTTTGTATTCTTACGTAGAAATTCGGGAAATCAGGCCAAGAGTCCCTTATTGACTTACTACCAAGGATCTTTCATCTCTACTTGAGCTAAGATGACTGAAAGAAAAAAGAATGAACACTGCCTTTCTGTTCTGGAGTAAACACATACCGGCTCCTCCTCTAGGCCTCCAACTCTCTCGGCATTGAAAATCATTTCCTTAACATCCAGAGTTTCGTCAATGACCTGAAACAGTCACAATTATTAGCATCTACTCAGAAAACAGGAGAGAAATGAACATAAATGTCACTTCTTTTCTATTCCATATGGTGTTGGGAAACTGTTTCTTTGGTCACACTGATCCAAATCTATTCTCCAAATCTCCAAAAGGAGGGTACGGTAAGTACGGGAAAAGGTGCTGTAAGGTGGCTAGTCCAGTCAGGCTCTTTTGGGGAGTGGGGGGGAGGCAGGTTTCAAGACAATGTTTCTCTGTGTAACCCTGGCTGTCCTTGAACTCACTCTGTTGACCAGGCTGGCCTCAAACTCTAGAGCTCTGCCTGCCTCTGCCTCTGCCTGTGGCTCCTAAGCGCTGGGATTAAAGGTGTGCACCACCACACCCAGCTCCAGACAGCTCTTCACCTGAACTTTCCTCGAAGTAACTGTGGTAGAGACAAAGCTCAGGACAGACAGCTAACAAACTAAACTACATTGAAATACTGAATCAGGCCAGCAAGACAGCTCAGCAGGTCGAAGAGTTTGCCACCAAACTCAAAGGTTTCAGTTTGGTTCCTGGGATCTACATGGAAGGAGAAATGACTCCTAATTGTCCTTTGGCCTCTGCATGCACACCATGGCATGCATGTGACCACCCCCCAACTAAAATAAAAAAGTCAAAAAAATTTCAGCTGAGAGCAATAAAAACGAAGTAGACAGAAAACATCAGGAGAATGCAAGGAGAAATAAGAACAGTGTAAGAAAAACAACAAAAAGCTCCATTTTATTCAGTTTTCCACTTCATTTTTACTTACTTGAAACTAGCCTCTGATACGTTATTTGTATCTTTAGTTGTAGATGAGTTTTTCTACTGTATAGTAAGAGGTGAAGCACTCAAGAAAAAAGCAGCTTCACTGGTCCCCTCCTTTCTACTCTGTGGAGAACTGGCACACACATTAGCCTGGAAGTCCTAACCACCATGCACCTGCTCCAGTGTACAAGAGGAAATGTGTGTGCAAAGGACAAGCAGCTTACCATATTTTCATCCATCTTATTCTTACTGTTAATCACTTTTTCTTCTGCACCAATTAGTCCCCCGTCTTGCTCTGCCATTCCAGATCCTGTGTAGAAAACGTTCACAGCTGAGTGTGTAGGCAGCCCACCTCAGGCCAGTCTCTCAGAAGCAGCAAATCCCTGCCTGAGGCCCACAACTCCAGATGTCACCGCAGTGGCATGTCTGAGAATGCACTGTGCTTTGCAAGGATGAATGGTGCAAGCATTGCAAAGGACTGATGAAGGAAGAGAGGGTGCTTACTGCTCTCCCACCTAGAGGGATGGAATGTAAGTCTTTGGAGAAGCTGAGGGTGTCCAGGATGGAAAACATATTCCAACCCTTACATTTACGTACAGTGATGAGCACTAGCTGTCCAACGGCACAATTCTTTGGTATCCAGACCCTACCACATGGATAAAGGAATGCTACCTGTATGTGTGCTTAGAATCTAACAGTTTTCTCCGTAAGAAATGACTTCTGCTTTAAATTCAACCCTTGCCACCTTCCACCCTCAAGTCCTATCTGCCTTTCAAGTTTCAGGTTCTCTGGGGAGACATTTCCAGGTTGTAGCACTTAGAGTCAGTTTGTAATTATCTATCTCCTTCTGCATCTCTCACTGGATTTTCTCCCCCAGACTTCCTACATAGTTACATCCTAAATGGTAAGCCTGGGTGAGCAGGAGAAAGCAGTTCATCAACAGACAGAACCGCAATGGAGGTGGAAAGAGCAAGGATAGCAACTGTCCTTTTTTCAGGGTCAGAAATGGCTTGAGCCAACATCACTCGTGTGGTACACAGAATGGCAGCATGTCTGGATTCTGCACAGACGCAGAGAGAGAAAAATCCTTTTCATTTTTAGTTTCAAGCATATGCTTCCTAGCTATCACAAATTTCTTATTAATAACTATATTTAGTTTGTATAGATCTAGGATTTGAATCTTTTATAAAGAGGCTTGGTAACCAACTTGACGTGCTAAGGTAACCGCCTGCAAGTGGGTCGATTCCAATGTGAGTTTACATTGAGCACTGCTGTCCCGGAGCTGCCAATGGCAGGCAATAATACAAAGCCCAGCCATAGCGAACTTTTTCATTTCACAACTAGACTTGTTTTCTTAACACAGACCAAGAGGGGATTAATGATATCAGATAGCCATGTGGCTGCCTGAGCTTGCAGCCTAGTTAATTTATTAACTCATTATACTATAGCCAAAATGACACAATTTTTCTCTAAAGCGTCTACTTCAAAAGAAAAGCACAACTTGATACCAGTTAAATCAGGGCTAGCTTTGGTGTCTCAAATGAAACAACACTGCCTGTCTACCATTCAAGAAAAAGAAATCTAGAAGGTATTTACTTAGTTAGCACAGATGCTCATAATCAAGACTACTAAATTCTAATTCTGAGCTCTTCCTACCTCATAGTTTTAAAAGCCATAAGGGCAAGATTCTCAGAATACAAAGGGATACTAAACCCACTCATCTAAGGGCTTGCCTTGGTCTGGCTGTCCTAAGGCTTGTCAGTGCTATAACTTCAACACCGCCTAAGCTTACTTTGGTTTCATAATGCACACAAGTGACTTCAAGAGACCAAGTTAGTAGTTATATCATCCCAAAACATTCTTTTAAGTAGGAAAGCAAAAGGCAGTCAAGCTTAACACCTAAGACATACAGTTGAGAGGAATATTATAGCATAGTGACTTGCAAGAGGAGGAGACACAGTTGAATAATACTAACATGCAAAGAATTTCAGAAGAGTCAGATCATACTTTTGGATTCTAAGAATAAAATATGGTATAAATCAGAACACCAGATTCTGAGCCAGGGAATCTCACTTGGTCCACCCATGACCAGGCTACCAAAGCTAAGAGAGTGAGCTCCTAAACTACACGAAGAAGAGGCACTACTGTCAGTGACTCAAGAGAGGGACTAGCTAACCATGGGGGGGTGGGGTGGTCTGCAGCTGTCACTAGCAACTGAGGCAGTAGAAACCACATGGGCTGTGAAGACAGCCTTGGGTCCAGACCTGGGTCTTCTACTTCTTAAACCTGCTGATTTGGGAAGCAATACCTCAGTGACTTTTTCACCTGCTTCATCTATTAAAACTGAGCAAAAAATTCTGCCTAAGAGGGCGGTTTGGTGGGTCACCAAGATGACAATGCAGCTGGTAGAGTGCTTCCCACAGCACACACTGTCTTTGAAGACGGGGGACTCACTGCACCTAGAGCGCCTCTGTCTCTACCTCTTTCCACAGCAGCGGCTTGTGTTTAAGGAATACGACAACTCAGGAACATGAGACAAGGGGCATGGATGGAAGGTAAAGACAGCTAAAAGGGGAAAAGGCAATTGGTAATAACAAGAGAAAAAAAGAGAGGAAAAATTTACAGTCTACCTGACTGTACAAGTTAAACATATTCTTCTATAGACTAGTTATACACAACCATTTGTTAAACTGACGTACTTTTTTGACATTGACCCAGACAAAGACTTAGGGAAGCATCTCTTTCTTGGACATCCCCAAAGCCAAGCTTGGGTGGTCACACAGTGACTAGACTCTGCACACTCGGAAAGCCAGGGAGCTTGTTAGTAACATGGAGGCAGGGCTACGCTAGCTCCACTCAGCCATGGCTGAAGAAATGAGGCGGGGAAAGTCAGATGATGGCATGAAACATAAAATGAAACTTCCAACACACTGGGGAAGTGAAAAGGAATGGAGGTCTTAAGGGAACATCTTTGACAAACCAACCTTTTTTCATTGGGTGGTACAACTCCGGCTGAGTGTCTAGCAGAAAGGAAAACAATAAAAAACAAAATAGCACAAAAGGAGATTAAGAAAGAAAATGGTTTCCTTCCAAGTTCCTCTCTATAAAGTGAACAAAAGGCATTTTTTTTTTCTTAAAAAAATATCCCATAAACAAACAACAGTAATCTAAATAGGAAATCGCTAGATGTGTCCCTCATGAGAGAGAAAAGTGGGAAGTCAGGATTGGCCTTTTAAGAGAAATTCTGAAAGAGTCTCATATTATTTAGCTGACCCCACAAACTATTATTATTTTTAGAAAACAGCAAAAAATGAAGTTAGTATTGATTGTGGTTCGCTGACAAAGAGACAAGGTACCATCAGGCCGAGCTTCCCCTTTGCCCCAACCCAAACAAGCACAGAGAAGGTGCCCCATGTGTGGCTGCCCCCAGCCTCATGGAGGTTGGGATCTACAGTGAGTCAGGAATGGAGTGAGTGACACCACTTGCCCCACTCATCTCTCGAGTCCTCAGCACTGGGAGGCCAGGAGCAGCGCAGCTGCACCTGAGCTAACGAGTTATGAAGGCATCTCTGTGAAACTCTAAAGGCGGCTGGATGCACATCTTTCCACCGTCTGGTAGCTGCACGAGGCTACTGTCTAATTGGTTTTGTGACTGTATCCCAGAAGCTGGAGGAACTCAACTGTCAGTGTGGATTCAATTCCACTTTCAATCTAAGCTACGTGACACCCTAGACAAGTATTTAATCTGCTCAAACCTCATCGTCTCCAAAAGGGATACCCACAGTCTCTACCTTCAAAGAGTGCTCTGAGGTCTGAATGAAAGGCATCCAAGTTCAATGCTTAACTAAAGCTGGCACAAAATTAAGATTCTAAAGCCATGGGCCATTTTTATCATTACCACCCTCACCATCAGCAGGAGCAGGAAATAGAATCTGATTATACAAACTAGTCTTAGGGCACAAGGCTCAGCAGCTTGTTTATTTTGGTACAGACTCTTGATTTTCAGGGACACTTTTAGATCCTGAGAACCAGCAAGAGAATAAAGGAAAACAGGCTTGTGAATCAAAGGATACACAGCTTCTCCTCCACCTCACATCGGAGATGGGACCCTGAACCAGTCAGGGCACCTCTTCAGCCTCTCCCCCTAACCTGCCTCCCAAGACTTAAGGAAGATAATGATGGAATATAACTAACAACCCAAAGGGACCCCATGTAAAAGGGACATCACACAAGAGAAGGCTTGCTATAAAGTGTGAGAAATCAACAAAATGTGAGAAATCTTTCTGATTTCCCTGATATCAAGTGTACCACTTCCCCACAGAACCCAGCGCAGTGCCCACAGAGAGCAGGTACTTGGGAAATCCATACCTTCCTTTTCCCCACCTCTCACAATGACACACCCTCCCCAAGTCAAGAAGATTTAAAAAAAAAAAAATGTATTCCATTTTCTAATTTCCTTCTCCTCGCCTCTGCTCCTAGGGATGGCTCTGAGGACCAAACATACCTTCATTCTCAGACAGAGATGGGAAGGGGTGGAAAGGGTGGAACGGCGGGATCTCCTCACTCTCCTCAGAGCTCACCCGGACATCCACAGGGCTCTCTGAGATGGAGGAGGTGAACTGGTCCATATCTGCTCGCTGTTCCTGAAGGAGCTCATCTAAAAAAAATACAGCAGGGAGCAGAGAAGCGGCGTTTAGAAGCAAGTCTAGGCACAGGACCAGAGCTCAAGACCTGGCAAGAGCCCCACAGTCTGCGACCCACCCCCTGCCTAACTCCTGCCCACGTCCACCTCCTGCCAACTGCCCGACTTTATGTGGTCCATCTCTAGAGAAGTCATCACACATAACTGCAACTTCACACCTTCTGGATTATTTCACTATCTGTATCTCTACTAGCACAACAAGACTTCAAGCAGATATTGTCTACTGGTAAACCATTTCACCCTGAAACACACAGCAGAAGACAGGATGATATACAGAATAAACTGGTAACAGGAAACATCCTAGGCCTCTGCAATTTCACACTCTAGAGTTTCTTCCGCTAATAAGAGTGAAGGTCAATGAAATTCAAGGCTCTGTGGCTCCAGGCCAGTACATCTGTCTTCGGAGACTCCTCAGCCTTGCCATGTAAACCTCTAGTCAATTCCAGACTTTCTGAAACCATGGTGTGCTAATGTCCACCGCACCAGCCTTGCTTACTCCTTATTGACTTCGTCCCTCCCTGCCATCACTCCCGAGCCTCACCAAAAGAGTCCAGTCTGGCCTGGATATAACTAGTACCCACCGATTTCCTCCTGGATTTCTTGAGCCACATAAGGAACTTTGTACAATAGAGAAAGGCTTTGGTTCCTTCTTTCTTCAATTACATGGAGGTGTGTCATCACCTAGAAGCACAGCATAGGGAAAGGCCTTGTCACTGAAAAACTATGAGATCAGGAGGAAAAACACCCACATATAGTTCCCGAGACCCAGAGGTTCTACTTGCTACCAGACAAAGCAGAACAGCTGGAAGAAGTCTATTACTTTCCTTGCCAGACTAGCAAACCTCTAAAGCGTAAGAGAGCACATAGTGTGATTGATAGTCATTTATCCCCAGAGAGGGCTACAAACTAGAAAAAGCCATTTTTTAAAATATGGTCATGAGGAACTGGAGAGACGGCTCAGTGGACATGAGCATTTGCTTTTCCAGAAGACTTGTATTCAAGTGTAGCACCCACATGAGAGTTCACACTGCCTGTTAATTCTCGTTCCAGGGATCAGAGATCCTCTTCCAGCCTCCACAGACAACCAGGAATGCATACAGGCAAAACACTCATCCATATAAAGTTAAAAAAAAAAAAAGGCTCACTAGTCAGTTGATTTGATTTGTTTTTTTTTTTTTGTTTTGTTTTTCGAGACAGGGTTTCTCTGTGTAGCTTTTCGCCTTTCCTGGAACTCACTTTGGAGACCAGGCTGGCCTCGAACTCACAGAGATCCGCCTGCCTCTGCCTCCCGAGTGCTGGGATCAAAGGCGTGCGCCACCACCGCCCGGCTTTGATTTGGTTTTTATACAAGACAATTGTCGCTAACTATACTGAGTCAGGGCCCTGGTCTGTAGGGTGCTAGATTTTAATAAAAACTTCGCTGAGTCTGAGAAAGAGGGGAAGTGCCAGTCACTGTTTTCCCACTAGAAAAGTCAAGCAAGTACACACACACAACTGGACTACTGGCAGGAAGGCTGCTCGTGGATACGGCTTGGTGAAGCAACTACCTAAAACTATTAAGGTGAAGACCAGGACTCCAAACAAACAAACAAATAAGCAAGCCAGGCGGCGGTGGTGCAGAGGCAGGCAGATCTCTGTGAGTTCGAGGCCAGCCTGGTCTACAGAGCGAGATCCAGGACAGGCACCAAAACTACACAGAGAAATCTTGTCTCAAAAAAACAAAACAAAACAGACCAGGACTAATTTATTCCTATTTAAATTATGGTTCTTTAAAATAAAATTCATAAGGCATGAATAACCCATTTTCATGTGCTGAAGAAAGATTTATCTACGCTAGCTCATTACTTTTCTGAATACAAAGACTGTTAATCCAATGATAACAACAAAAGCATCCAAGGTAGAAAAGACAGGTGATGTGACTCAAAGACACAGTGGAGTTCTGCTGCAAGCTCAAACTCATTACCCCTCCAGCCTAAGCTTGCACTTCCCGAGCTGCTTCTAAAGGGGGCGCTCAAAACTAGTGGACTGGACAGCCCTGAAGCCATTAACATGAAGGGTCAAAACGGAAAAAATTAAAGATGCTTTTACTGTAGATTGATGTGCTTCTGACCTTTAAAAGCAAGATGGAAGCAATTTAATTTTGTATTTGCCATTCTGCCAATCAAATAAATTGATGGGAAAGCACAAGTGTGAGGGCTTTTGCAAAAAATGCAAATGGAATTGCAATGTGCTGCCCGGAGCCCAAGCACATGTAGATACCATTATACTTCCTTAGATGAATTAAGGAGCCATTTGAGAGGACAAGAACCACAGGGTGGAATAGTGGGAATCAGTCATTATAGAAACCTTTACGCTAAAGAGCCTGAGTGACAGGTTCAAAACACAGGAGCACTACAAATATATGAAACATAAACCAATTCAGGCTTAAATTTAGGTCAGACCAAAGAAAAATATTTTACGGGATTGATTTATTTTATTTTATGTGTATGGGTGTTCTGCCTATATCTAAGTCTGCCTATCACGTTTGTTCCTGGTACCTGCAGAGGCCAGTAGAGGGCATGTCCCCTAGAACTAGTTAAAGATGATTGTGAGTGGATATATGGGTGCTGGGAATCAAACCCTGGTGTTCTAGAAGATCTTAACCACCGAGCCTCTCTCCAGCTCCCAGGAATATCTTACTATGTACGTAGTAAACCTTTTTTAAAATATGTAATCAGAAATACTTCTGGTCCTAAATATTTTGGATAGGGGGGATACTTATCCTGTAACACGCTGAGTGTTTACACTGAGTGCTCAGGCAGCACAGGGAACAGGCAGTGATACATGTAATTCAGTGGTCCCATTCCCTGTAAGAACAGACTTACAGTTCCCAGCAGAGATAGGTTTTTCTGCAGAATTGCTAATATGGGATGCTGCTGTTTTTCAGTTTACTTGTTATGGATCTTTGTCTCAGGAATTGCTAATAAATTATCAAATCAGGCCCACAGATGTGTAGCTCAGCTGTAGACTACTTGCCCAGGATGTGAAAGGCCCTGGATTCTACCCTCAACACCAAAACAAAAAGTCGCTCTCCATTATATTATATTATATTATATAGAATAAATATTCCCTCAAAAATATATTTAATATATACATGACTAGATCCCATACAAATTTAATTTAATTTAATTTCATCCCCATGACCCCCTGTAAGATACAACAAAAATATACTAAAAGATTTGGGTCAAACCAATCCAATCCTGACAAGATTCATTTCTCCACCTGTCTTCCAGAGACAGTCCCGAACTCCTGGTGTTTCCCCTCTTCCACTCCATCTAGTGTGAAATGAAACCGTAACACCAGACCTCTACTAGGTGCTTCCTAGGGCCTCGGAAATATCCCTGCCCATAGTCCCACTGTTCAGGCACCAAAGTTCTTTAGTTCTTTCCAACATCCAACTTCTTTTTGTTTGGTTTTTTGAGACAGGGTTTCTCTGTGTCGTTTTGGTGCCTGTCCTGAATCTCACTCTGTAGACCAGGCTGGCCTTGAACTCACAGAGATCCACCTGGTTCTGCTTCCCAAGTGCTGGGATCAAAGGCGTGCACCACCACCGCCCAGTCAAACATCCAACTTCTAATGTGAACTCTGTACCTTGGAGGAAAGTAATTCTTCATTTCCTAGTTAACAAACTTAATTTGTATGAGTCCTTGAGCAGTAGTCAAGGGATCCAACTTCATTAGACTCTGCAAAAAAATTTTTTTTTGGTTTTTTGAGAGAGGGTTTCTCTGTGTAGCTGTTTTTGGAGCCTGTCCTGGAACTTGCTCTGTAGACCAGGCTGGCCTTGAATTCAGAGATTCACCTGCCTCTGCCTCTCAGGTGCTGGGATTAATGGCATGTGCCATCACCACCTAGCCTGTGAAATTTTAACATGCAGATGGTAACACAAACTTCTGCCCAACAAAGGGAGTGAAACTAAGCTCTGGGATCCTACAGCTTTTGGGTAAATTATTTTACGATTGTACTCTAAGAAGCTGGGAAGAAGAATTTCTGGAAGGGCACTCACTCTAAGCACATCTCATGCATATGAGTACTCATAATCTGCATGGCTTTCTATTTAAAACAGGAAAATAAAACAAGGATGATGATGTTATTAAACCATCCTCAGGAAAATCAACGGACTATTATATTAGACTTGGCAGTCCTATGCACAGTTCACAGTCTAGGAACACATGAGAAGATTTACTAACATATGGACAAGTACCAAAATAAGACCTAGAAAAACCTGTACAAATGACAGTGGGGTAAACTGGGCTTAGCATAGGACAAACTCAGAAATGTGTCTGTCCGAACAAAAACTTCAACAGATACAACAGGAAGTGAAGTGTTGTTTTGTGGCTTTAGAAATCAAATCCTAGGACTCAGACACACTGGGCAAATGTCTCTACCAGTAAGCCAAGATCAATGCTTAAGATCCATACAATGTATTTGTATACATTGTATACAAATGAAACCTAGAAAAAGGTTTCACATACTAATTCAGGTGATAAGCTGAATCAGAAATGAACTGACATAAAAATTTGATTTGGAAACTGACTTATCTCTTCCTGGCAAAACCCAACTGGCATACTACAGTCTTCTAACGAGCACAACAGCAGTGTGTCTCAGCACCTGCTGGAAATCTGTCTAGTTTACCTGGGATTTCATCTGGGCAGCCTTTTCTGGGTCAACAGCCAACACGTGCTGGTAATGACGAATGGTATGTAGGCGATCTTTATTCTCAGCACGGACGTAACGACGCAGAGCTTGCAGAATACGATGTGGCTGCCAAGACCAGAGAATTCAAAGTAGGTAAGGAAAACAAAATCCTCAAAATTGATTAGAGAATAAAAGCTATAGCTTGGAAACAAGTAAAGAACTATCTTTCTTGGTAAAAAAAAAAAAAAAAAGTTTTGTTTTTTTTGTTTGTTTTTGTTTGTTCCAGATTCTTCAGCTCAAGGTCCTGTGAACTAATTTTTTCTTTCCTGGTGTGGTTCAAAACCTAAATTGTGAGCTAGGGATTTTTTTGTGTCACTCTAGAGAGAGAGAGACTTCAATGGCATAAATCAAGAAGGACACAAATATTCTCCTGTCAAATACTTTTTAATTAAGAAAAGAATTCCTAGCATGTGTATATCAGAGTCTGTGAGGTCAGTGGGTAATTCTGTGGAGTTTGCTCTCTTGCCCTACCTCTGTGTGGGTTCTGGAGATTGAATTCTGGTTGTCAGGTTTATGCAGCATGTGCCTTTATCCTGTGTGTCATAGCACTGGCTCCTGTCCAATACTTTCTATGGCTCTCAAAGGAATAGAGGTTTGATTTCAACATAAAAAAAGCTTGAGACCACTCACTCAGGAGTTCCACTCTGATTATTTTACCCTTTTCCTTCTTTGTTTACTAGGCTGGCCCCAGGCTTGCGACTCCCCTGCCTCTGGCCCTGAAGGGCTCAGATTACAAGTGTGTACCACCCACCACTGCCCACATCCTTCCCTTTCCTTTAGAAGATGATTTTGAATGAACTGGTTCAAACACTTACATTCAGAGGCATGCTTTCCTTCTTTGAAAGTAAGGGTACCACAGAGAACCCAGAACTGTGTGTCAAACAGTAAGTTCCCTGAGCTTATGCTTGTCCACTTGTATATCCCAGGTGGCACATGCAGGCACACCGCGATGGAATGCTACCAAGCTCATATATCCAGATACTAGACTCGGTTCCTTTTCTAATCTTTACCTTCAATTTTGTCAAAACTTGTCTTAAAAATCTCATTTTTCACCAAGCTGTATGTTCCATTAAGTACACGTTTTAAACAGGCAACAGTAAGAACATGACTTGGCTTTGAGTCCACTCTGACCCTGACTCACCCGAGGTGGGTCAGACTGCAGGGCAGCCAGGTAATTCTCCAGAGCTATCCGCCGGCGGTCATTCAGCATGGCTTCCACTCGGGCCAAGTGAGTTTCCACAAGCTGCTGCTTCTCGCTGGCTGCTTCCTTCTCTAAAGCTTTAACCATAGCTTGGAAGTGCTAAGCCAAGAAAGAAGGAAGGACATGTAATTCATGGCCCCAGTAGGAAGTCTAAAAAAGCACCTTCAGGACCTAAGACTTTTCTTTGCCTAGTGCCTCTGTGTCTCCATAAGACAGTAACAGATTCAGAGTGGCATTAGCTCTGATTTCTATCTAAAAAAAAATAACCAACCTAAATTACATTTCTGTGTTAGAAAGACTCGAGTTCTGTAGCTAAAATCACTAAGTTTGTAATTTCAACATCTGGTTTTTCAATGTTCACTATCATCTTTTCCATGTTCTAACAAGACACCAACTTCTAAATCCTGAAGCAGTAACTAACAGGACATGTTTTGAAATAGTTCAGCAATGAATGTGCTGGCTCACACTGGGTTATACCTACTAGAGCTGTGAAGGGACCGTTATCTGTGAGCTGCCTGGCCATGTTTACTGGCAGCTTAATGTTGCTGAATCAAATACTCCTACAGAAGATGAAATTGCTTGTGTAAGAATCCAAGCTTTCAGATTTTGAGAGACTGATTAAAAAAAGCCAAGGTAATACCTCCAGGAAATACACCAGTGATAAGGAGAGAGTACACCTGGTACATACTGATTTTAAAATGTGTGCTTAGTCTGGGTGGGGGTTCAGCTTTCAAAGGTACTCTCCCACATTTAAAAAAAAAAAATTAAAACATAACACGATTCATTCTCCAAAACCAAATCAGTCTTATGAATTGCTGTTTCTGTCGCTAAGCCCGCCTGTCTACTGAAGGAGTACAATAGCAATAAATCTGCTGCTATGACTCTGAGGTTCCATCTTTACAAAGTCAGGGATAAACTTGCATTCAAGAGCTGTGGTTTTTGCCTCTCGGCTTGTCAATGAGTCTGTCAGTTTCTTTTTAATCCAGTAGTGTTGAAAAACAAGTCACAGCCCATGAACAAGATGACAGAGGGCATTTGCCAGGAAAGCAGAATTAAGCAACAGCTAAGCCAAGGTTACTTCCTGCACAAATTAGGTGTGCTCTGGGAGAGGGTTTGGTTTCTTTCTACCACAGGCAAGCAACACTACTGGCGAAAACTCAATGGGAAAGACAGGAGAAAGAAAGGGGAAGGAGGAGAGGGAGGAGAGGGAGGGGGAGAGGATAGGAGAAGAGAGGGGGAGGGAAAAGAGAGAGGGAGGGAGAAGAGAGAGGACGAGAGACACAACTTCCTTGTAACTTAAGTCCTTGACTAGAAGGAGGTGTTAAATTCAAATTCACTGGGAGTTTGGCCTGACTGTATTTGCAGCAGGTCACACTGGACTCTGTGTCCCCTTGCCCAGAGAAAGCATCCTACCTGAATGAGGGTCTGTCTTTCTGCTTTGGGGAGGTTCTTGGCTTGAAGCTCTGCCTCTTCCCATTCCTTCTTTACCTAGAACAAAGATCAAAAGCACTCAGAGAATAAGCCTCTGAAACAACTTCCCCATTTTCTAAAAATACTGATGGGCACTGAATCCAACTCCGGAAATTGTGCAAAAAGAAACCACATCATATGATCCCTGAGATCAGACTGTTACTCAGAAATGTCTAGGCCTTGGTCATCCCCAGACCTAACCTCAATTCCACGACCTCTTTGTTATATACCTTGGGCAAGTTACTCTTATGTTTATTCCCCCTTCATTAAAAACTAAAATTAATACCAAAAGTTATCAGAGCTGATGTCAATATAAGATAATGAGCATTTTGCTAAGAGTAAGTCCAGTGTATAAGACACAAGATTGGAGCACGAGCCCATCCCAATTCCTCCTGTTATTGCTGTTCTGGGCCAGTCTCATGCAGCTCAAGTTGGCCACAGGCGGCAGGTGCAGCCAAGGATGACCTTCAGTTTTGACCTCCCTGCTGCCTCCTTCAAGTGCTGGGTAACAGGTGTGCCCCTCTACCCTGTTTTGTCTGGTGCTGGGGACGGAGCCCAGGGCTTAAGCATTCGAGGCAAGCACTGTCTGAACTGAGTCACATCCAAAGCCTCCAGGCAAGGCCAACCTAGGTTAGACTATGTGTGACCCTGAGGAGGAAGTACTAAGGATCTCCCTGCTTTAACTTTAAGAATGCTTCCAAGTAAATAAACATTCCTGAGACCTTAGAATCTTCCCTCTGCAACTAGAAAGTATTAATAACTGTTTTACTTCATCTAATCGACTTTTACAATTTCATAACCCAAGTCTTCAATTTTGACAGTGACAAAAATTGAATTTTTAAAAATAAAAATTTAAAGTCAGCAAGAGCAAAAGAATAACAAGCAAGTACCAGTACAGGACATGTTCAGAAGTGTCTGCGACACCACTGAAAGCAATTTCATAACAGGAGAGAGGAGGTGGAGAAAAGGGGTTCATCCACTCGAGGTAGCTCCCCAGAACCTCACGGCATTTTAGCCAGCAATGTCCTTCTCTTCCACTATAAAATCCTGCCTTGCAGACTAGTTGCCTAGTGTGTATCAGGTGCTGACCCAATCCCTAGCACAAACCAAAAACAATACAAGCACCATTACCCTATCCATTCGATTGCGATGCCGAATTTCCAGTTGTTCCTTAGCCTTCTGGAATCGGGCGTGCTCGTTATCATCCGCTGAGGTCTCAAAATACACATCAACATCATTGGTTGGCAGGGGAGTTGGGGGAACTGAAACAAAGTCACAGAGGGAGTTGTCTTGGGGAGTCAGGCAGATAATAAAGCACAGGACCCACAGGATGGACTCCATTAGTCTTGTGGCTTTGCTAGAAAGTGCAGGGTGGTGCCGCCTGCCAAGACACCACTGCTAGACTGCAGTGGGCAACCTTCTTGGCATCCTAGTCACTAACCATGCTAGTCCATGTTAATACAGCAATTTATTGGCAGCCCAAAGCCCTAGCATATCTTTAGCACCCACAAGGCATTTTACCTAGGACTGAAGGACCAAAAAAAGAGAGAGATACCTGCTTCTACAATCTTCCCTTCAGAGCTTGAAACCTAAAAAATGCCACCCTACTGTTTATTGCTAATGGTACCTAAATGGAAACCAGAGCTGAAATTAGATCTCATGGAGACATTTCCACAAAGGTCTCCACTTTTAAGGAACAGTTTCTTGTCTTTTTTATGGCAATCTTTGGGCCTTAATTTGGAGAAACTGGTTCAAGTGTGCATTCGTTACATACAGGCTGGTGGAGAATGTCCAAACCACTCTAGTTCTGTAAGACTCTGAGGCCTCTGTCCAGTAACAAGGCTAATGAAGGTTAAACTAAATTTCTTTATTTGATGAGGACACTTTCTACTGATGGGAAGATGCTTTGGTCTTATTTGATTCAGGACACTGACTGAGGATGCTTCAGTGTCCTCCAGAGCACAGATCCAGCAAAACAGAAATCTCTTTGTCCCACTGCTGCTTAAGCATGAGCTGTTATGGCCCCCAAGGCGAGTGACTGTGTGCATCAAGGACTGGTGGGCAAATTCACTTTGTTGTAATGCATAGTTTTAACCCATAGAGTAAGGGAGAAACTGATTAAAAAAAAAAAAAAAGCTAGAAATCAGCCAGCCATTCCACAAACTTCATCAGAAGCCACTTGCCCTGCCCCCTTTAATTTAGTAAGCCTTATAGCTGTAATCTTGTGATACTTTGCCTCTCTGTAATTTCAAAAAAGATCTCAGTATCTTACGTTCAAATGAATTAAATTACAGTATGGGGTTTTTTTTTTTTTAAATTTTTTTTTTTGGTGAATTCTTATTTATCTTAATTTATTTATTCTTATTTTTTTAATAGTGTTTTGGCTGTATATCTGTGTGAGGGTGTTGGATCCTGGACTTACAGACAGGTGTGAGCTGCCATGTGGGTGCTGGGAATTGAACCCAGGTCCTCTGGAACAGCAGTCTGCGCTCTTAACTGCTGAGCCATCTCTCCAGCCCCAGTATGTTTTCTTAGTAAATCATATTCCTCTAGTGTTTATTCAAAGTTCAGTGAAGAATTTCAAAACTATTTGTGCCACTATATACACAGTCATCAGCAACACACATCAGAAGTATAAAGGCTTTCAGCCTGGCCATGGTGGCGCACGCCTTTAATCCCAGCTCTTGGGAGGCGGAGGTAGGTGGAGGTAGGTTCGAGGCCCGCGTGGGAGTTTCAGGACAGCCAAAGCTACACAGAGAAACCCTGTCTCAGAAAAAGAAAAAAAAGGCTTTCATGCGGTGTGAATGGTTGCAATCTCTGGGCTGGGAGAATGCAAACCGTGAACCTAAACACTCCCCACAACGAAAAGCACAGTAATCTGGAGACCTCCTTCTAGAGACATGAAGTACAGGTGAGAATCATGACGGGCTCAGCCTACCCACTCACCTCAGCCCCGTTAAGAGACACAATGTGCCGGGCGGTGGTGGCGCACGCCTTTAATCCCAGCACTCGGGAGGCAGAGCCAGGTGGATTTCTGTGAGTTCGAGGCCAGCCTGGACTACCAAGTGAGTCCCAGGAAAGGCGCAAAGCTACACAGAGAAACCCTGTCTCGAAAAACCAAAAAAAAAAAAAAAGAGACACAATGTGATCACAGAAAAGCTGCTACCTATAGGTCTTCAAGGCTCTCCAGCTCGAAGTGCATACACCACTGCTTCTCTTCAGCCGAGCTCTCCTGATACACAGGAAACTTCACCTTGTGACAAAGCACTGTCTGAGCTTTGGGGACACAGAGTATCTCCACATTCAGTGAGATCATCAAGGGGCCTCAACTCCGTAAGCATTAGCCCAAAACAAGGTTTGTACATTCTTAGCTGAGTTCTTTTCAAAAGTAATCATCACAAGAATTCTTCTCTCTAAATCTTTCCTACATAAATTTGTGGATGGAAGTTCCCATGGCTCATTTTTTTTTTTTTTAACGTTTTCAGGACTATTAAATAAAAGTAGTCTTCTTTCCCCAGTGTAGCTGGGATGGAAGCAATAAAAGCACGCCACACTACATTAAGATCTTAAACATCTCTGGGAAGAGGAAGAAGAAAGTCTGTGAAGATATCCAAATGAAAAACTATCAGAGGCTCCAGCAAACACCAGGGACAGACAGCATGATGAGTCCCAGAAACTGCCTGGTCTGAGGATTTTCCTGGCACATAAATTAACACTACAAGACAGGATCTTAAAGAAAGTACTAACTAGGAGAGAAGAAAAACTTGCCCAGTTTAACATAAGCCAACTCCACTGAAGCACTGCCCTTCCTCTGAAACCAAAGCTACACACAATCACAAGTGCACACTTCCTAGAGCCCTGCAAAACCCGTGTGGCCACAATATCAGCAAAGCCCAGTCGAGAGGGTTGGGCACAAAGGAGGTATTTTAACACTCTGGAATCCCCTAAGTCTCCTGTTGTCAGTCCTGTGGAGGGTGGGGGTCCCAACAGGCAGCATGTAGTACAGGGGTCAGCAGCAGGTTTGGTCAGAGTCAGAACAAGAGGCGAGGCCTCAGGCACATGACTGGGCAGCCCTCAGTGCCACCATGCAATTGCTCTAGGGTCCCTTTCAACAACAGATGACCAGAGGACACAGCTGCCTCCCCTGATGACACGAACCCCCACTCCCACGGCCTATGAACTCTGCGTCCACGAGAACCAACAAGGCCTGGCTGTGCCACCCACTGCACCAGGGTGGGCATACTACCACTACCAACCATCAGTAGACACACAGGGAGCACGGGACACCAAAAGCTGAGCTCACAACTGCCAGCAGGACACAGAGCCTTGGTCTAGAAAGCACAAAGATGGGGGAACGACTGACAGCAGACACCCGAGTCAGCATAAACATGACAGATGCAGTCACAAGGACGGCAGGAGACAGAAGGCGGGACAGGATGGCACTGCTGTGCAGGGCCAGCACAAGGCGGGACTTACTCATCGCTTTACACACAGCCATACAATAATCCTCAGACTCAAAATTGTTCCTGTTGCCGCCGCAGCCGCCATATATAAAGCGTACGCACTTTCCCTTGGAGAGGTCGAAGTACCAACGAGGCATCACAGCCCGGCAGGGCCCCGTCATCGCCTCCTGGGAGCAGACAGCTGTGTGAAAATGGTCAGAGTGTCAGCAGGGCAGAGGCAGTGCTTCAAATGCTTCACAGTGCTACAGGCCAGCCGGGGCAAGGTGGGAACCACAGCTGGCCTAAAAAGTCCTGACTAGCCTCACTCACCAATCCAGGCAGACAGAATCACCTTCATGTGATGAAGACATTTAGGGAGAAAGATAATTTGACTTTTCTGGTCTTTTGCATTGAGTCTAGATTAATACCACAGGCTGACAGAAAGGATCTGCTTGTGGGCCTCACACTTCTGATCTGTGCAGTGGTGACAGGTGCCTGCTTTGTTTGTTCTGAGAGCTCCTAGGATCAAAGGAGTCAGCGTGGTTAGAAAGGCCATTTGAAGTGGTAATTCCTGCAGCAGGGGCTGAAGCACTTGAAAGGATCAGTGTTTCCACTGTCACAATCTCCAAAGTAAATCGCACACTACTAGACAAGTATTTTCCTCCAGCTGAGTCCTAATTCTTCAGATCTTACATGGTTTCAAACACACAATCAGCAGTGATTCTATGTAATGGCTCTGGAACCATCATGGCCTTTTCTCATTCAATTTTATCCTATCCACTTTTACAAATGCCTGACCAGAAGGGTAGGGTAGTCTACAGACAGGAATACACATGGGGAAAGAAAAACCAAGCAAGTCATTCCCTTCTAGAGAGACGGTTCTTGAGCAGCACCGAGTGGAGCAGGCCCTGGACGACAGCACATTTTAAGCAGGCTGTGGAAGAATCCCGCGAGTCGCTGCTTCTTACTCTCTAATTAGAGCCTGTAATGCCAACTTCTGCTTTCTGGTTCATTCTGGCTCTCTGCTGGGCCTACCCAGCTGCTCCTGCTGACAGCTCCACTGCCACACTAGAGAAAACTGCCTTCCTGATGGTGCAGACGCTGCTTTGCCTTCTGAGACTTACCCACAGTGAGTGATGAGAACACAACTTCCAAGTAAAGAACCATGTGGATCTTACAGCTTTATACTGAGTTACCTTTCACATCGTGAACAATGTCCTTGTCTGAAATAGTGCCATCGCTGCTGGGTTCAGTTGGGTTCTCCTCATTGTAGTCGTCTCCTTTAAAAGAGTCATAGTAGTAATCACGGTCTTCCACCACTTCCCCTTCCTCCTCATCCTCATCCTCCTCATCTGCAGCTGCTTCTGTGAAGTCTTCCAAATCTGCTTCAGTAGGAAATTCACTAGAGGCCATAAGCCAAAAAGGAAGGTTAGTAGCAATTTCTAAACACAAAGCACAATTCCCTTCCCTATTCTGAAACACAAAAATAGAGACAGGAAATAAGCTCATCTCACAGCCCTCAGCCCAACTTTATTGGCAAAAGGGAAGTTAGTGAATACAGATTGCATTAACCTATGGAAAATAATATGGTTCAGGGGCTGGAGATGGTTCATTGGTTCTTGTGGCTCTTGCAGAGGACCTGGGTTCAATTCCCAGCACCTACATGGACTCACAACCATCTATCTCTAATTACAGTCCCAGGAGATTCAGTGGCCCTCTTCAAACTTCCAAGAGCACCAGGCACAAAAGTGGTGCACATACATGTGTGCAGGCAAAACACTCATACACGTAAAAAAAAATTAAATAAATCTTAAAAAAATAATGTGGCTGGGTGGTGGCACACGCCTTTTATCTCAGCACTTGGGAGGCAGAGGCAGTCAGATCTCTGAGTTCAAGGCTAGCCTGGGCTACAGAGCAAGTTCCAGGACAATCAGGGCTACACAAAGAAACCTTGTCTCAATAATAATGGTGATGATGATGATGATGATGTAGTCCAAAGACAAAAGGCACAGGTTTTCATATGTTCAGGTTATGACTAAAATAAGAAGCAAATGGGATGAAATTTAGCACAAGGGCACAAGGGGGACCCACTGTCCTGGTTGTTGGGATTTTTGTTGTTTTGTCAACCTGACATAAGCCAGTTATCTGAGAAGAGAAACCTCATTTGATAAAATGCCTCCAGCCAGACTGCCTATAGGCAAGTCTACAAGGCATTTTCTTGATTAATGATTGATCTGGAAGGGCCTAGTCCACTGTGGGTGGTGTCACCCTAGACAGGTGGATAGGGGTACATAACGAAGCAAACTGAGCAAGCCAGTATGCAGTACTCCTTCATGGTCTTTAATTCCTGCCTTCAGGTTCCTGACTTCCCTTCATGAAGGACTGAGAAGCTGTACAGTAAAATAAAGCCTTTCCTCACCAAGCTGTTTTTGGTTAGTGTTTTATCACAGCAATAGAAATCCAACTAAGACACTAACCTTACTTATCCAGCAATGAGGGACCTTACCTTATCACTTTTACAGAAGGGAAAAACAAAAAACAAAAAAAACAAAACAGGGCCGGGCGGTGGTGGCGCACGCCTTTAATCCCAGCACTCGGGAGGCAGAGCCAGGCGGATCTCTGTGAGTTCGAGGCCAGCCTGGGCTACCAAGTGAGTCCCATGAAAGGCGCAAAGCTACACAGAGAAACCCTGTCTCGAAAAACCCAAAAAAAAAAAAAAAACAGGCTAGTCATGGTGTCACAGAACTTTAATCCTAGAACTCTGGAGGCAGAAGCAGGCAGATCTCCAGCTCAAGGCCAACCTGGTCTGTGTAAGGAATTCAAGGCCAGCTAGGGCTACATAGACCCCTACCTCACAAACATACACTTACCCTCACCCCCTACTGGGAGGCCCTGATAGTCAGAGGAAGCAGTCTACCATGGCCTGGCAGCTCTCTCTGAGCTCGGCAACCTGGAGGGCCACCCTTCTCCCCCGTATGGGGGGCTTTCCACTCTCTATCCGACCTTATTTGGAGAATGTCTGTAGGCCTGGGTGCCCGACTTATCTCTAGTGTGACCCTTGACACAGTTCCCTGCAGAAGCTTTCCCCTTGCTGCCCATGGTAATTAGTTTAGACATAGCACTAGGAGCTTTAGGACAGGACCGTGCTTCCACATATTGTAACTTAGACTTGCACTAGAGCTTTAGATAGGAACGTGCTGTTTAATGCACATTAGATGTGCCTCTGCCACTGTCCCCATCCTTTATATCTCCCTTCACTCTGGAATACAGCTGCGCTGTCTCCAGGAAGGCTATTTCCACTGTGCTCACAAGGCCGTACACAAAGCTCTCTGTAGCCACTTCTGCCCCTTTGTCCCCTTGGACTGGTGGCCAACAGACCATGAAGAAAAAGGGGACCCTACAGCCCCCAATCAAACAAAATCAGGAAAAATGAGTTCAACGCTCTAAACAACAGTTTACCTTTTATCAAGATCATAGTCTTCCTCTTCCTCCTCCTCCTCCTCTTCCTCCTCCTCCTCTTCTTTGGACATAGTAGAGTCAGAGTCAACAATCTTTGTCTGAGGGCAGCACACATACTCAGTACCGTGGAACTGGTCTACCCCACAAGGCAGCAGCATGCCGTAGCTATATAAGGTCATCCCCTCAGTCAGACATGCCTACAAGAAACCCACAGACCATATCAGAACATTTCCATAAGTCCCTGGATCCCTAGCTTCACCTAAAAGAAACTCTTATCAAAACACTAGGTGGTAATGCATTCTCTTCTGGACACAATAACTGTTTTAAAAAGAAGTTATCATGCTATTATTTTAAGAAAACTTGAAGTTTTTACTTAATGTATAACCTCATGTGAGCCAAAAACTGAAAGACCAAACTTAAGATCGAAGGAACAATGTAAAGAGTTTCAGGAATTAGTAACAGTTAAGTCCGTTCAATGCCATTACTCCTGGGACAGCCACTACTTGAGAATCTGACCAAAGACAAAATGACTGGAGGACATCAGAGCAAGAAAGGGTACCTCCTTACCAGAAGAGTGAAACGGCACCCAAGCTGGCCTCGCGGTGCTTGTGTGCATGCACACACCTAGGCTGTCTAGAGCTGGCTAGTTCTGCACTGACCTTAGGGGCCAGGATGCCTTCCTGGGAGCCCTGCTGACAGCACACATTATCAACTGTCTTTTAACAACCCCCATCCCATTCTGTGGCTTGCACATGCTAGACAACTGCTCTTTTTACTAAGCTAAATCACAGCCCAAATGAAGGAGAAAAACTAAAGTATTTCTGTTCCTTTTTTGGCAGTGCGAGGAATAAGTGAAACCCAAGGCTTCAAACATGCTACATAAGAGCTCTGCTACCAGTTTATCTCCTTGGCTCACTGACAGTTTAAACTCTAGGAACAGACTTGCTCATGCTGTACCTCGGCACAAAAACATCCATTCTTCTCCCAAGTGTTTTTTAAAATTTTTTTACTTATGTGTTTGTCACATATATGCAGGTGATTGTGGAGGCCAGATAAGGCCATCACATCCCAGGGACCTGGTGTTACAGGTGGTTGAGTCACTTGATGTGGATGCTGGGAACCAAACCCAGGTCCTCTTGGAGGGCAGGAAGCACTTATACCCACTGAGCCATCTCTCTCCAGCCTTGTTCTAGGTTTTTAATTTAACACAGAAATACCCAGATGTGGCAGTATAACCCTCTGAATTCCAGCGTGAGGGGGGGTTAGGTTGAAGGATTATGATGAGTTCCAGGTCAGCAGAGCTATATTTATCAAGTACCAGGCCAGCTAGAGCTACATAGCAAGAATCGGTTTTTAAAAAAGGCAAAAAGTAACTGAAAAACATGATGTGGGTGAACAGAAATGCTATCTCTTCTGAGGAATGGTAACAGCCTGTTCCACATGTGCTCTTACCTCCTTGACGACGGTGTGCCAACGCTGGTGCTTCTCACACACCTCCATCCGCTCTCGGTGGAAAAACTGGCAGTTTTCTGGAACCAGCAGAACATCACTAACGAACTCACCCACTGGGGGGAAAAAGCCTTTGTCAGAAGCAAATCTGGTTGTGATTCAGGGCGTAAACAGTCTTCAGAACAGATTTTCCTAATAAGGCCTGCACAGGCACCTGCACAGCCAGGCATATATAAGCACATGTGGGCACCAGAAGAACCCCCACCCCACCAGGGACGCTGCCACTAACATTTCCAGGCTACAATCCTGTGCAGGAACTACAGCAATACCTTTCAGGGGAGATGTAAGCAAGAGTGTCCTCCACGATCACCCCAACAACACATATAACCATTTCTCATGACCAGTGTGTGGGCACTTTCTACAACCATTAGAACAAGTGATACAAGTAAAATTTTAAGTGAGTGATTAATCACCAAAGAGAAAGGAACCTTTACAATGAGAAAATGCCAAAACCTGGTCACTGAGATAATGTTCCAATTATGGACAAGCTGACATCTACAATGTCCTAAGAGTCTATCAGTATCACCTACAGTATTTCTGCCAAAATTAATTGAATGTAATCCTAAAAAAAACCAAATCCAAATTCAGAGATATTCTACATTTCAAATCTGTAATATATGTTGTTACTGAGTATGTGCATATGCACAGGTATGTAGGAGACCCCCTGGAACTAGAGTTACAGGCAGTTTTGAGTTGGGTAATGGGAACCACTCTGGTCTTCTACCAAAAGCAAGTGTTCTTAACTGCTGAGTAAACCATCTCTCCAGCCCTTAGGAATACTTTATTAAATGTGATGGTTTGAATGAAAATGTCCCCCATAGGGTCACAGGGAGCGGCACTATTAAGAGGTGTGGCCTTGTTGGAGGAAGTATGTCACTGGGAGGTCTCAGATGCTCAAGCCAGGCCCAGTGTCTCACTCTCTGCCTGCTGTCTGCTGATCTAGATGTAGAACTCTCAGCTACCTCTCCAGCACCATGTCTGTGCCTGCATGCTTCCATGCTTCCCGCCATGATGATAATAGACTAAACCTCTAAATTGTGTCAGCCCCAATTAAATGTTTTCCTTTATAAGAGTTATCATGGTCATGGTGTCTCTTCACAGCAATAGAAACCCTAACGAAGACATTATACAAATGGTCTGGACTCAAAATGTATTACTGTCATTGAAGATGAGAAACTCCCCTGGGTCAAATATAATGTGTGATCTTTTGTTAAAGGAAACTATAGCCAGGCAGTGGTAGCACACGTTTTTAAATCACAGCACTGGGGAGGCAGAGGCAGGAGCATCTCTGTGAGTTTGAAGCCAGTCTTATCTACAGAATGAGTTCCAGGACAACCAGGGTTATACAGAGAAACCCTGCCTCAAAAACAAAAAACAACTAAAAAAGGAATACTAAAAAGGAGATTATTTGAACATTTAGGGAAATTTCTTAAAGTGTGGTGACTGTATTATCATTATACTGTAGACTGCTCCTGCTTTCAAAAGCAAGCTTAAGTTATTTAGAAGTGAGCTGTTTCAATGTCCCAACTTACTTTCAAATGGTTTAGCAATCAGGAGTGTATGTGGGCCAGGCAGTGGTGACCCAAGCCTTTTATCCCAGCACTCAGGAAGCAGAGGCAGGCAGATTTCTGAGTTCCAAGCCAGCCTGATCTACAAAGCTAGTTATAGGACAGTCAAGGCTACACAGATAAACCCTTTCTCAAAACAAAAGTGTATGTGGGAGGTGCTGAGGGGCTGGGAGAAGTCAGGAAAAAAATTAAAAATCTAGGCAAAGGGTAGAGATGTTCACTGCTAATTCTTTTCTCTTTAGGTCTCACCTTTGGAGGGATAGAAGGAAGTCTGGCTTGCTTCCAGATACAGTGATGGGGACTCCTGCACTGACTGTTACACAGATGGGAAGAAGATGGATGTGAAGATTAATATTATTACTAATTCGAGAGAGAGAGAGAGAGAGAGAGAGAGAGAGAGAGAGAGAGAGAGAGAGAGAGAGAAACTGAATTACTGCCCAAAGATTCTGATTAGGCCATGTAAGGGTGGCCTCAGTAACTTTATTTCCAGGTGATTTTGATTCATCTGTTATGTCCATACAGGGTCTAAGCAGAATAAAATAAAGAGGGGCTATGTGTGCTTTCTTTGCTAGGACAAAGATCAAGTAAGGAATATGGGAGAGCAAACAAGCTAGCCTGAGGTTAGGTATGGGGAGTGCAAAAAGAAAGCAAAGTGAGCCAGGCGTGGTGGGTGGTGGCACGCAACCTTTAATCCCAGCACTCTGGAGAGAGAGGCAGGCAGATCTCTGAGTTAAGAGGCCAGCCTGGTCTACTACAGAGGGAATTCCGGGATAGCCAGGGCTATCAGAAACCCTGTCTCAAAAAATAAAGAAAAGAAAAAGAAAAGAGAGAGAGCGTATGGACACAGTATACTAAGAAACGATGTCTGGCTCAGCTCTGAGAAAGTCTATGCAGAACCATGACCAGGTCTGACATCATGCCTGGGTCTGCCAGTTAAGAAAAGGGGAGTCACTCATCTGCTAAGTGGGCTGTGGTGGTTTGGATGAGAATGGCCCCCACAGGCTCATATAATTGAATGCTTACTCATCGAGGAGCAGCACCACTTAAAAAGGATGAAGAGAGGTGGCCTTGTTGGAGAAACTGTCACTGCAGGTGAGCTTTGAGGTTTCAAAGGTCCAAGCCAGGCTCTTCCTGCTGCCTGCTGATCCAGCTGTAAAACTCAGTTCCTCTCCAGCACCATGTCTGCCTGTGTGCTGCCATGCTTTCTGCCATGATGATAAAGGACTAAACCTCTGAAACTGTTAAGCCAGCCCTAATTACATGCTTTCTTTTATAAGAATTGCTGTGGTCATGGCGTCTCTTCACAGCAAAAGAAAAGGGATGAGGAGCCTGTGCCTTTATCCTAAGGTTCAGCAGTAAGCAGTCTCCCTGCATGGAAACAATGTTACACATGACAACAGGCTTTCACAACACTGTTAAACTCAATTGGGCTGGAAAGCAGGAACAGCAAGTCAAGTTAGAGAATGCTGCTCTTTCGGACCCTCAAGACCCAGGCAAGGTAGAACCTGTATATAGTAAGAGTCAATGCACCTTGATTTATAACCTCTACCTTTTTACATACAATTGTAACATCAGGAGAAAGTGAAGTCAGCGATTTCACTACTTCATGTATATTCTATAGAAAACAAAGAAACATACAGAAATGCCTATATAATGGAGTATTGTGTATCCTTAATCTACTTGCATAACATCTTGGATACACTCCCAAATGATGGCAAATGTACCCTGGTAGTGGTCACTGCTAGAATTCTGCCCTTACTCCAGTTGCTTGACCGCACATGCACAGTTCAGGAGTTGAGCGGAGGGTCTTGTGTCTTATGTCATCAGTGTGCGCTGGTGATTACATAGGCATGGCATGGTGACTCAGACCACCCCCCCTGTTCTGCTCTATCTCTCCCCACCATCTTTCCCTCCCACCACATACGCTCCTTTCCCAGGCCTGGTTCTTCTCCCCCACCCTCTTCCTCCTAATGGTAGGACCCCAACACCACTACACATGTAAATAAATCTACTGCAGGAGTACTGCCAGCTGCAAGGAAGAACCATTTATGGGGCTCGGCAGGTTACAGCATAGTCAAGTCTGGCTGGTAAACCCCTGGCAGACACCTCTGAGGTCAGCAGGGTTCTATGGAATCAACTCCAGATTCCCACTGCAGAAACACTAACCTTGCACAAGGATCCATCCTGGCACCAGGGAGAATGTCTGGGGGCTATGGTAAATTCAAAGGCTAAAAGACTTGAAAAGGAACACCTGTAATGATGCACAAGCCATAGAATGTCAGATATGACTACACTCATGCCCCAAATACCTCAAGTTTTACTTTTTCATGCAATTCTGCCTCACTTGGGTCTCTCTCTGATGTTTTATAGTTAAACAGAAGGTTCATTTTGAGGCAGGAAAAGATTGAACTGTGCCTTCTGATTAAATATACCACCTATCATCTAACAAGTCACACTGGTTGACAGCATGGATGCAAGATGCAGTGAACAGACACCTACTGCTAGTGCAACATTGGACCTGATGCAAATCCTGCAAGCAGTTCACTTTCAATTTGTGATCAAGACACTGCCCTTGGCACTGGAGATCTAACTCACTTGGTAGAATGCTTGTTCAGCATGCAAGAAGCCCTAGGTTCAGTCTCTAGTACTGCCCACCCCCCAAAAAACCCAAACAAACCAAAAAAAAAAAAAAAAAAACAACACCAAAAAGTCAGGTGTGTGGCATGTGCCCCTAATACCAGCACAAAGGAGCTGGAGACAAAGGATTATAAGTTCAAGGTCATCCTTGGTTACATACAAGTTTGAGGCCAGTCTGGGCTGTATACACCCTCTAACAAAACAAAAACAAAGGAAGAAAACATAATTCTTTTCTTTAACCTAGCAAAAACAGTAAGAAGCAAACATCACCCACAGCAGACAGGCACAGCAGACCCCTCCCTATGCTGCTTAGGGCACTGCGTGGACAGACCCAAACACACATTCAACTTTCAAATCCACAAAATGGCCACAACAAAACAAAATGGAGGGGGAGGGGCCTGGAGAGATGACAGAGCCTTTGAGGAGACTCAGCTCTTCCAGAGGACTCAGGTTCAATTCTCAGCACCCACTCAGTGGCTCACAACTGTCTATAACTCCATTTCCAGGGAATCTGATGTCCTCTTCTGGCCTCTGAAGGAACCAGCCACAGAGATGGTATGCGTGTACATACACATACATACACACACACACACACACACACACACACACACACACACGCAGGCAAGGCACCCATACACATAAAACAGAAAAAAGAAGACAGAGGTGAGTTGGAGAGATGGTCAAAAGTGTGTATCGCTTTACAGAAGACCTGAGTTCAGTTCCCAGCTTCCAAATCTGGTGGCTCACAATCACACCCAACTCTGGCTTAGCTCTAGAGGGAATCAATGCCTCTGCTTCCATGGGCACCTGCATTCATGTGCACATTACTCCCATACCTAATTAAAAGTTGAATCTTAAAAAGAAAAAAAGAGGTAAGAACTCCACGACATCCAAACCAGTTAACAGAGGTGCCTAATCAATATATAGCTACTTTGTATTTGTTCTCTCTATCTTCTTCAGATTTGCCAGGTAGTTTTTTTAGTTTTTTATTTGTTTTGTTTTGAGTCGGGGTCTCTCCATGTAGCCCTGGCTATCCTGGAACTCACTATGAAGACCAGGCTGGCCTGAAACTCAAAGAGATTCTCCTGCCTCTGCCTCCAAGAGCTATGATTAAAGGTGTATACCACCATGATTGACTTTAAAATAAATGTATTTATTATTACTTTGTGAGAGAGTGGGTATGTGTAGCAGTCAAAAGACAACTCTTGGTAGCGGGTTCTTTTCTTACACTGTAGATCCCATGTCATGTGCTTTTGCCTGAGACATTGTTGTTCCTAGGCAACAATATCTGTTTTTCTTTTTTTAAAGACAGGGCCTCACTATGTAGACCAGCCTGGCCTCAGACTCACAGAGATCCACCTGTTTGTGCTGCCACCATGCCTGGCTTGAGGTTGTAATATCTTAAAAATGATTTCAGGCTGAAGCCAACCTCTTTCCTATCATCTCTCTACTCCAATATGCAATATTCATCTCAGTACATGTAAAAGGACCCACTGTGACTCTCTGGGTCGATATGGGTATAGGACTCCACTGTTTATTATAGTCTCACCCTTGACATACAGTGTAAAAAGAATTATCAATAGGAGCCAATGGAGGCTCAACAGGTGAAGATGCTTGCACTGAGAAGCTTGTTGCCTGGGTTTGATCTCAGACATGTAGTGGGTAGCTGTTCCTGCTTTGACCTGGAAATACTACCCCCAGTGAGGCTTCTGGTAACTGTCATGCCTACCTATGATCTGCCCCTGAGGCAGGGCCAAGATGAGAGCCCTTAAGACCCAAGATCCAGATGTGCCAGCTCTCTTGGTTCCTGGTGATCCCGGATGCTAGATGGTAGACCAAACAGAGTTCTCCAGAGAATACCGCTGGACTGCACCTCACCTCTCCCGGATCCTGTAACCAATCCCTTTACTTGTAAGTTACCCCAAAATAAACCTCTCTTTAACTACATGGAGTTGCCTTAATAAATCCCAAATTAGAGACATCCTCCCCCAACAGTGGAGGGAGAGATGTACAAGTTGTCCTCTAACCCTCACCATACACACTGTAAAAATTAGTAATAGTTATTATTTTCTGTGGATGTAGAACATTACTGCTAGAGTATAAACCATTTAATTGAATATTTCAAAATGGGTAGGTTACTTAGCACATAAATTGTATTTTTTCAAACCTATTTTTTTTTTTAAGAAACAGAGACTGATTATTCACGATGCATGGAGCAGAATACATCAGAACTGGCTGGCACACTCACTGTGAGCTTATCTGGCATCTGTGTGGTATACTCATGTGTGTGCACATATTCAGGCCAGAGGTAATGTTGGAGGTCTTCCTTTTGTCTCCATCTCATTTTATGAGACAAGGTCTCTCACTTAAGGTAGAGCTCACTGCTTTGGTTAAGACTGGCTGGCCAGTAAGATCACAGTCTCCATCCCAACCCCAGCCCCAGCCCTGGGGTTATAGATACATGCTGCCATGTCTAACTTTTATGTGGGTGCTGATGATCTCAATTCAGGTCCTCAGGGTTTGCAGCAAGCTTCACCCATTGAGCCCCTGGTTTTTAATACATACAGAGGTCGATATGGAAATGCAGATCTAGGTCCACGTATACATAACACACATATTTCTTAGCTCTGTTGGACAAATGGGCCAAGAAACAGTAACAGCCTTGACAGAACTAAGCCACAACTAATGTCCACCACCTCAGTTGCTAAATACCATTACCACTCAAACCAAGGCTAATTCTTGAAGAAATGGCTAACTTCAGGAGAGAAGGGGAAAAAAAAAAAAAATCACAGGATGGGCATGTTTTATACCAGAGAGCAGATCCTCAAAGAAAGATAAAGACATGTTAAAAGGACACAGGAACATAAATCAGCACCTAATGACATGAACACCAGCAACATTTTACTCAGCTGACGAGTTATCAATAGTAGCATAGCAAATTAACATTGTTATTGGGAGCTGTGTGATGTCAATTTTGACACTGCTCTCAAAAATACATAAACCAGAGGCTGACAAGATGGCTCAGCAGGTAAAAGCGCTTGCTGCACAAGCCTAGTGACCTGAGCTCAATGCCAGAACCCACACAGGTGGAAGGAGAACGCCAACTCCACGAAGCTTGTTCTCTGACTTCCACATGTACACTGCGGCACATGCCGTCTCTTGTTCTCTGACTTCCACATGTACACTGCGGCACATGCCATCTCTGCCCGCATCATTCACACACGCAGACAACACTAATAAACATTTTCAAAAAAGCAGGAAGGACAGACAAACCCAAGCTGTCCAATGGTGACGCAGTGGGAAGCAAAGGCCAGGCAGTGAAGATAACGGGCCAGGCTACAGGAGGGTCCCATCCTGGAGTTTCTAAGTCATGCTAAGGAAAGAGCTTCAGCATTATTTACTTGGATAAAGGAGAAAAACTACAGAATCTTATGCATGGACACAACTTGATCTTCACCTTAAATCACCAAAGGCAAAAAGCTGGGAGCACGGCAGAGAAACAAGCATGCAGGCTGCCATCACAGTCCAGACAAGAAGTGACAAAAGGCTGAACACGAGAAGAGGAATCTGATGGAAGATTCCTTGATTTTCTTGATTGTCAGCATCCTGGGTGTCTTAATGTTTTTGTTTTTTTCACGGCATCTCTGAATCAACACAAGCTTGAAAGGTAAGTAGTTAGGCCCAGCAGCAGCTCACTATCAGGGCCTACCGCCTTAGCACAGCTGCCCACTGTACAACTAACCTCCACAATGCACGCAGACTCAATGCTGCCACTTCCATTTCATCTCAGGTGATGCTCATGGGACTGACTTTTTAATCACAGAAACCATGAGAAAACAGTGTTAGGAAGAGAGGAGGTTGTTCAAAGACTCAAGAATGATCAAACTAAGCTGAGTGTAGTGGCACATGTGTTTAATCCCAGAACTTGGGAGGCAGGCAGATCTCTGAACTCTAGGTCCACATAGAGTTCCAAGACAGCAAGGGCTATACTGTCACAACTAGGGGGCTAAAAAAAAAAACAAAACAGACTGCTGAAACTGGACACACACACACACACACACACACACACACACACACACGTCGAGTGTTTCAGTTAACGTTTGAGAATTTTACAGACACATTTCTCGGAGCCAAATGAAGGAACACCGTCTTAAAGCACATCATACAAAGATTTTAACACATTCCACGTTACACTGCAAGACGCTCAGATTGAAAGGAAATGGCTAAGCACACACAATGTCCTCCCTTTCCACTAACGAGTGCTATACAGCAACCTAAAGCTGCTGCAGACTTTGTGCAGTTCTTGGTCTAGTTCTTCCTCTGACTTGGCCATTCTTTCTCACTACATGTAAGCCTAATAAAAGCAACCTACTCATTTTGCTGATGTCTGTACTTAAGGGGAAGTTTTAATGAAGTGAGGGAGAAAAATCTATTTTTGCTTTTTGTTTGTTTGTTTTTCAAGACAGAGTTTCTCTGTAGCCCTGGTTGTCCTGGAATTCACTATGTAGACGAGGCTAGCCTCAAAGGAATGCACCACTACCACCACATGGCTGAGAGGAATAAATTTCACAGGTGGCTCAAATTAGATCTAAAGAACTCCTCAGGTGTCAAGAGTTAGTCTCCCTCCCCTGTGTTACGACTATTTTGGACCAACTACAAGTGTTCTACACTTACCAGCATCTGTGACCCAATCTGTTCTTGAATCTCGCAGACTAGACTTACTCACATAGGTCAGGCAAGAAAGGGCTAAGACGACTGCATTCACTAAGTAACAACCCCGTTTCTGAGGAACACACTGTCAAGCTGGCACTACATGTTAGCACCAACAAAAACGTGGCAACACTTGGGTAAAGCTCCAGCACTTCAGAATGGCAGGTCCACACAGCATCTGGCCCTGGCACCTGGCCACATGCCATGAGTCATTTTCCTTTCCCGAGAACTACCACTAATCTGACTAACAGCCAATTTGAACAGGATGAACTGTAGGGAACAGTTTTCCTTGGCTGATTTCTTTAGCGCTATTTCTCAACTATCTTTCTTAGCACTGATTTCAAATGGTTAATGTTAAGGGTAAATCTGCTTGCTTGCAGGTAATGCTTCTCTTCGGTGTCCTGGAAAAGGCTTATCCTCCAGAGACAAGAGGTTCACAATGGGAGAGGCAGTTAATTCAGAGAAGTCTACCAACAACACAAAGAGGCACCAAGTACCCACAGGAGAAATTCCTCCAGTAACTTTATTTTAACAGATGTAGAGCTATTTTACTGGGAGCCAAGAATAAAGCTTACAGGATGGGGAGGAACACTTCTAAAAGACAACCAAAGACAGTACTTACCAAGACACTTGAATGGAATGACGATGTGACTCTTGCACTGTTTTTTGTCCCTTCGGCACCAGCCATCAATACTGACTGGCTGGTTTGCTTCCATCACATTTGTGATCTGCAGCTCTGGATAGATCTGTTTAAGAACAACAACAACAATTGGTGGCACATGCCTTTAATCCCAGCACTCGGGAAGCAGAGCCAGGCGGATCTCTGTGAGTTCAAGGCCAGCCTGGTCTACAGAGTGAGTTCCAGGAAAGCTACACAAAGAAACCCTGTCTCAAAAACAAAAACAAAAAAAAAAACAAAAAAAATTAAACTATTCTACGTTCTAACAACAAAAATAAAAAATACTCAACTATTAGTTTTCCTTTGTTGCTGTTTATTTATAACAGATATTATTCAATTTCCTCTAGTCAAAAGGTTTTTTTTTTTTTTGAGACAATGCCATCAGCCTTAGCCAATTGGAGAACAGAATCATCTGACTTGCATATTTTCTAACAGCATATGTTTTAAACTGATCATTAAACCTGCCTGTGACTTGTCAATCTTAGCCACATTCATCTGGATGGACATGGGGTCCCTTGGCACCAATGATGTGGTTGCTCCCTGAGCATTTCCATAGCATGTACAAGTCCACAAACTTGCCAGCATTGTTCTGCATGTGGAGGCTGCACGTACTCCCTCCAGTTCCAGTGAGAGCAGACAGGACAAAGGCTAGCTTTCTTTTGATATCTTGTATTTCTGACTCCTCCCATGGACTGCATTTTAAAAGGGAATCTGGACTGGGCGGTGGTGGCGCACGCCTTTAATCCCAGCACTACAGAGGCAGGCGGATCTATGAGTTCGAGGGCAGCCTGGTCTACAAAGTAAGTTCCAGGACAGGCTCCAAAAGCTACACAGAGAAACCCTGCCTCAAAAAAAAAAAAGGGGGGGGGGTCTGTATGTAAGGCAAATGCAGCAGGCTTTCAACCCAAAACAAATCTTACTGGGTATCAAGTTCACCCACAGGATGTGTGACACTCCTGAGCTCTTGAAGGGAAACAGAGGCAAGTCTATCAAGTACCTGCTAATGGAATTAAAACCATACTTCACCACTGGTCCTACATGTGAGGCTTCATAAGAAGTTAAACTCACATTCTTTTGTTACTGAAGCAAAGGGTTAAGTTGACTCATAGCTAGAGGATCCCTCACAACACTGGCAGCTTTCTATGAACAAGCAAAAACCACAAATACACATGTGACATTTTGCTTTCCATCTTCCTAAAACAGAACTAGGTACCTACCAAGCTTCTGCAAAGAACTGAGCTCACAACACAAATAAGCAAAACCTCCGCAATATCTAAATTTGGAAACGAAAGGGACTGGAGCTCCAGTTCTTAGTACTCTGGTCTTGGGCAGGGGAACACATGCAGCCCTGACCCAGAAAAAGCAGCGGGTGTTAACTTTCTGGCAACTCTCACCTCCTGGCAGTACTGAAGAACTTCTTCCTTTGTTCCAAGGCAGCTCTTGGTACCTGTTGGGTCAGGCTCCCATTTCCCAGTCTGAATGTTCACATGCATGTTCAGCTTCCCACAAAACATCGCAATCTGAGGCTCGGCAACAGCAAAGCCCGTCCCAGCATTGGCTGCAAGAGCCTATCAAAAGACAAACCAGAGGTTTCAGGTTTAGTCAAAAGGTATGCAGACAGGCACAGCCACTTCACAGTAAATACAGGATCGACATCTTACAGCTAAACTACTCAGTACAGTTCTGTTTGTTATGCTTCAAGATCTGAAAGCTGAAAAAGAACCGAAGGGTGGATGGAAGCTACTGAAGTATGAATCCTATGTGGTCTGGGAAAAAACAATCTCCAAGATGGCTTAACAGGTAAAGGCACTTGTGATGACCTGAGTTCGATCCCCAGGACCCATGTGGTGGAAGTAGAGAACTGACTCCTGCACGTTGTTCTTAGGTCTCCATGTGTGTCAAGGCCCTTGCATCCACTCAAATGCCACCCACCCCTGGGGAGAAGAAAAAAACATAATAACTACCAAAAACTGCATAGACCCGAAGTCCTTTCAAGTTTCAAAGTAAGCATTTCAAGACAAATAAAAGGAAACTCAATTTTGCATATATAGAAACTAACCCCTAAATATGAACAGGTTGTGCTGACCGACTCCTGGGATCCAGGTCAAGCTACTGTAAATTAGAGTATCGGAATATCAGGAAGGACGGCCAGTCTCTAACAGCACCTCTACTGGTCTGTCTCAAACTACAGTTGGTAGCCTTTGCTTATTTGTTATCTCTTTTATTTACTTTTTCTTTCTGCCCTCTTTCAATCTAGGGTCTCAATCAAGCTGGGCGGTGGTGGCGCACGCCTTTAATCCCAGCACTCGGGAGGCAGAGCCAGGCAGATCTCTGTGAGTTCGAGGCCACCCTGGGCTACAGAGTGAGTTCCAGGAAAGGCACAAAGCTACACAGAGAAACTCTGTCTCAAAAAAAAAAAAAAAAAAAAAAATCAATCTAGGGTCTCTCACACGCTAGGCCTGCAGTCTGTCTAGGCCTGCAGTCTGTCACTGAACTCTAGCCCTACCCCTTCTAGACACTTGTTATTTTGAGACAAGGTTACTCAGGCTTGTCTTGAACTCTTCCTGCCTCAGTTTCCTGAGGGACTGAGATGGTGGGCCTGTGGTACTTTATATAAACTAATTCTTGTCCCAGGAAGTATGCCAGAATTTTAAAAGCATCTTTGTACATATATGAAGTGAAAAGCTAACAGGAAATCAAACCCTACTACTGCCTACTTGGAAGACATTGAATGTGATTGCTATCTGTTCTAATACAAGCTACCATTCCTTCACACACAAAACATGAAAACAGAAAGCAGTCAAAACTTCCAATAATTTATTTAATTCACTCATGCAACAACAACAAAAACTTCATCAAGCAACTGTATTAACAACGTGCTCAAGGCTCAGGATACAAGCATGAGCAAAAATTCATGACCCCACCTCCTCAGTCCTCCATCTAGTGTCAAGTCAAAACGTACACTAAAAAAAGTGACTGGATTCAGTCCTAGGAGGAAACATTAAAAAGAACATGACCTCAGTTTGAGTAGAGAGCTAAGAAAGGAAGCTTCCAGAGGAAAATGAGGCTTGTGGGGAGGTGTGGATGCTACGAAGGAAGAACAGCCCTGCGGTAGAACCAGGTCTACATTGTCTGGCAGCAGGAGGATCTCAGCCTTCATTACTGGAAGTGCTGAGAGATTTTAAGCCAAAGCAAGACATGGTGATAGATTAGACATGGAAAATGAAGAGGACATCAAGTTGGGTTATTTTCAGGATGCCCAGAATGCAAGGCTCCTCTCAAGCAATGTGTCCTTGAAGAACAACTGTGCATTTTGTGTTACAGTGGTCCTTTATCCATGGAGCTATGTCCCAGGACTCCCAGTGGATGCCTGAAACTATGGAGTACACTGAATTGAGTATGCTTTCCCCATGTCATAATAAAGTTTAATGTATAAATTAAGCACAGTAAGAAAGAAACAAACACTAAAGGGCTGGAGAGATGGATCAATCAACAGTTAAAAGGATCCGGGTTCAAATCCCAGCACCTACATAGTGGCTTACAAGCAGCTGTAACTCTGGTTCTAAAGAAACGGGCATTCTCTTCTGACCTGTGCATGTACTAAACATGTATACAGTGCACAGGTGTACATGCATGTAAAACCCTATACACATAAAATTGACATTTTGTTAAAGGGGAGAAACAAATCTGAAATTGTTTCCTCAATCAACAAATGAACTAGAGTTAAAAGATTAAAATTTCTTAATGTTTTAACTATGTATGCGCTTGTATGAATACTTTAACATTGAAGGCAGCTACTAAACAAATAGGATTCAGGGTACCATATCTCATCATTTGGAAGACTAGGGTGATAGAGGATAGTATTTGACTCTTAAGTCCCCCAAATGAACAGAGATAAAGTGTTGGTTAGCTGTGTGTGCTCACTGAGCCACGACATTGAAACAGTCAATTCTAGCACATTCATCAGCCAGGACTACGTTCCACATGTTACTCGTTATGGTTGTTGGCTACAAGACCACACGAGTTTCAACTGTATAAATGCTCAGTTAATGGGTCAACCACGGAGGTCAATACATCAGTGTAAGTGCATTTGATTTCTGCACTGAGATGGTCAGTGTTATCTTCCCTAAAGAGTCTAAGGTATCAGAGGTTAAAGCAACAGGAAGGAGAGCAAAACAGCCAGCTCCTCACATCAGTTACCACCAAGAAAGAGAGTTCCTGGAATCAATCCAGACAGCTAATAGGATACAGTGATTCACTTCTGAGTTCAGAAAGATTAATCCTTGTGGTCATGAGAGACTCTCAAGACAGTCTCCTCTGCAATATAAAAGGCCTCTGTGGGCCACATCTAAGAATCAACTAATCAAACATACCCCGACCTCACCTAGAATGTGACAGGGTCACCGTTCTATGATGTTTGTACTTCTTTACTTGGAAATGCTCTTATTTAATGTGCTCTCCATTTTCTTAAGCACCGACTGTGCCTTGATCCATTACTCCAACATATAAATCAATCTGCATCCTAATCTAACATGTTACAAATGGGACTTCACTGCCAAGTCAGCACTTCTGACATCCTGTGAACTTGGAATCCTCTATGAAAGAAAATTAATGCCCCACGTGTTGGCACTTAAGCCAGTCCCTGTGATCTATGCACACGGCAGCACTTTCAGGGCTCTGAAAACAAACTGCATCAATTGCTTTCCATCCAGTGCCTCACTTTACTTAATAATTCATCCTTAATAAGAAATGCCATTTTATTAATTTGGCTCAGAAAAAGTTCAGCTATCCAAGGAAAGGAATTCAACTTAGTAGAAGGTGCTCCTAATAATCTGAAGCAGCTTAAAGCATTTACAGTCAATGTACAAAATGTAAGTCTGAGCCTGCACGAAGTCTGTCCGTCCTTGATATCACTTCAAGAGCCTAACCCCTGGGTGGAGCTCATAAGCTAGCTGTCTTCCTTTTCAAAACTGTTTGGGGCCAACGCAGCTCTCCTACCTCAAAGCCTGTGCCTGAACAGTTATTGCTTTCCTCACTAAAGCTACCGCCCCCAAATCAAATCGGCCCTACAGTTTGATTAAGAGCCTACATACAATCTTCCCAAGGGCAGGGTTTTCTCCTACAGCTGTGGGAATGAGGATTCCTTAGATGGAAAGGTGCTGTTTACAGCTGCACCCCAACCAGCTCAGCTCACACGGTTCTGCTGCATCTAGCTAGGCTTCCAGGCTAGCTACAAGACACTCTTATTCAAATGTCCTTTCCGTTACACCTTAAAATCTTTAAAAAGAAAAATTGGGTAACAATCAAAATTTGAAGAGCCTATATCATTTCCACTCCTGTTCAAGTGTTGAATAAATTTCATAATCCAGAGGCTTGAGAGATGGCTCAGTGGTCAAGAGTATTGGCTGCTCTTCCAGAACCCAGGTTCAATTCCCAGCAATCACATGTCACATCTGTTTGTAACTCCAGTTCCAGGACTTCTGACGCCCATGACATTCATGCAGGCAAAACACCAATGAACATAAAATAAAAATTAAAAACAAAAAAAACTTTGTGATTTACCGATTCTAACGACCACGTCTTTAATTCCAGCACTCAGAAGGTAGAGGCAGGCTGATCTCTGAGTTCCAGGTCAGCCTGGTCTACAGGGAGAGTTCCAGGATGGCCAGGAATACTCAGAAACCCTCTCTCAAAATATAAATGTAACAATTTAAATATATACCCACATTTTTTTCACCAAAGATTTCTTATCAAAAGAAAGTGAAATACATTTGTTCTTAGCACACTTCAAGATATTTGTTCTCAGGAGAAAGAACATGAAGTTGGGTTGGGGGGGATCCGGAAGCAGCTGGGGGAAAGGATATTATAATTACAAATTATATGAAAAATTGAAAAACTATGGAAGGATAAGGAGCTCTCACAAGCTATGACTAACTACAAAAGGAAGGCAATCAGAGTGAGGACACTAGGGTGAATGTCACCATCAACAAGACATTTAAGGAAACCAGTCAGGAAAAAAACTCAAAATGGTTACAAATCAGCAAAGACCAGGCACAAACAATGAATGAATGCAATGTGGGAGCTTGACCAGGATCCTGGAACAGGAAAAGGACATCGGTCAGGGGAAACCCGAGCAATCATTTGCATAAGCTGTGCCAACACAAGCTCCTGTACGTGCTCTATGGGTTATGTAAGATATTAATTCCACAGTCAGGCATAAGAGAATTCAGCAGTATTGTCAACTTTTACTTAAGGCCAAAAACTGAATCAAAATAAAACTATTTGAGAGATGGCTTATCAAAATAGCACCTGCTCCGCATGCATGACAAGTGAGATAGAGCCCAGTACCACCAAAAAAGCAAGTGTTGCCGGGCGGTGGTGGCGCACGCCTTTAATCCCAGCACCCAGGAGGCAGAGGCAGGCGGATCTCTGTGAGTTCGAGGCCAGCCTGGGCTACCAAGTGAGTTCCAGGAAAGGCGCAAAGCTACATAGAGAAACCCTGTCTTGAAAAACCAAAAAAAAAAAAAAAAAGCAAGTGTTTTTGTGTTTAATCCTGATCAAACTGCCT